ATTAAGGTGAGCAAACATCAGCTCGCTGGCGCAATCCATTTTCGCCTCGCAAATTTTTGAAAAGCTGGTGATTAGTCGCTGTAAGGCCTCCTCCGATCGTCAGCCTCAGAGTTAAAAAACTGGCAAAAATTTACCAAAAATATGCCCATTTTGTAAATCTTCGCCCGCATAAAGCAACATTTGTTCCATCGAAGTGCATTAGCTCGAACTTGCCATCTATTTGCAGTTGCTGATCAGAATTTTTTGAAAAACCCGTTGCAATCAGTTTGCCTGTTAGAGCGCTAGATTCATTGCGGTATGGAAAAATCCGCCAAAAATTAACCATGTACTCCTCAAACGTGAAAATTACCACATACTTAGAGCAACATTTTCTCCACAAAACCTAGTAAATACCAGCTTGCTGCACACTGCCAGTTTTGCCAGACGAATTTTTGAAAAAAATCCAAACCCAACTCGAAACCATCTAGGAACAATACGTCATATCGGAATTTACCAACAGCGACCAGCTGTTTAGAAAATTACTTACAATTAGACGATTAAACCCATGGAAATGTCCTTGGCTACGAACATGATGAATGGCATGAAATAGTACATTTAGTTTAAAGGTCAAAACTAATAATGCATTCTCGTCGCCAAGCGGACTATTGCCATTGCATTTGCTGGTTTCTCAACTCATTAGAGAGCCAAAGTAGCCTTTTTTGCGCTTATATTGATGCTGAAAAGCCTTTGCATGGTTATCTATCTAACACACGTCGAGAATGAATAGGAGTTCCTCCATCTAAGGCCACGTCTTTGCAGGCAATTCGACCTTAACTGTTGGCTTAAAGTCGAAATTCAATGTGGGTGGACAATGGACCTGGCCTTGTTTTTTGCGTCAAACAATCGCCCTTTTCTGTAACTGTTTAACTGTCGGTTTAATTGCAATGGTTCGAACGTAGATAATGAGAGACGGACTTTGTCCCATATTGAAATTACTACGTAATTTCATTAGTTGGTTCCGATAAATTCCGATGTCGTCATTATAGTGAAACGATGTAGAATCGATATGGAAACAGTTGGTTTTGTGTGTTTAAATATGGTGGAAATGAGATGAAATCCCTTGGGTTCTGATGGGTTCTAAATTGGCTCAGGATTGCAACAGCAACTACACATTTGGACTTTTGAAACGACTACTTTTAGACACTATTTTGTTAAGTAGTTAAAAATCGGAATTCAGCGCGATTTACATGAAAATTTCAGGGCTTTTGCCTT